ATTCATATATATATATATATATATGGAAATTAAGTCTTTTCAGTCTAACAATATTTTTCTCCTTGGAAAGATAAAGGAAACACATTTCTGTCAATTATTTTCTAGTAGAAAATATTAAAATGCATAATCATTACATGTAAATAGAAATAGAAAGTTTCATGAGTGGAACACCTCCAAGGAATGAAAGCAAAAATAAAATCGAGAAATATTTTTCTGGTCTTATCCATTTAATAATTTATGAATTAGAAAACAACAGTTTTTAAGTTTTATAGAAGAATCCTTTAATAGCCTGCATAATTTCTCAGTCTGTAAGATTTCTACAAAAAAATGTCATTTAGAGGCTAACAAGCAATGATAGCATTTGTTTAAAATGAAGAATATGGTGCCGTTGCCTGCCTTGCAAGTGCACGGACCAGATTTCGATCCCTGGTATTCCCCAAATTAAAATAAAATAAAATAAAATAAAATAAAATAAAGTAAAGTAAAATAAAGTAAATATATAAATAAATAAAACGAGTAGTGAATGGGTTGCATTTTATTATGAAATAAAAATGATTTTAAAATTTAAAGGTTAAGGTATTTAACAGTTTGATGTTATCTGGCATATTATTTCATTTTAAACTTAAATTTAAGTGTAAATCACATCAAAACCAGAGCCAGATAGTTTTAAGCATAGGCGATAAAATGCTTTTCTGTTCACATGAACCCTTTAAAAAATAGGTTAAAGCCTTAATTGGTTCCAGGGGGGATTTGTATTTTATATTGACTCATTAATCAGTAGAACTCATTTTCTTTTTACCATCCTGACAAATGTCTAAGAAGTCGCCCTCCATCATATAATTTGGTAATATAGCGCCATCATGTGGTTAATTTTTAAATAGCTTCTAGAAATGAAAAATAAATTGGAATATTTACATAGCCAGGCATTTACCTCCATTTATTAAATATAAGTTACTTCTATTTTTAGTCACTCTAATATATTTAATCCCAAAGAAAAATGGTCTTCTTTATTCGCTTCTGTGAATATGCTCCTGGTTTTTCTCTATTTGTTTTGACCTTCTTTTTAAACACCTTGCTTAATTTTCCTGAAGAGTCTCAAATCTACATTAACCCCAAATTAGCATAATCAACACAGATTTCTCTGCTGCCATGTAAATTTCTCTAAGTGCATAGTCTATTATTTTTTCTGCACTCCAAATGTCTAAGGCTGTGTTTTTTCTCTACCCCAATAGAAATGTGTTCGTTCCTGTTTCCACCTTTGCAGTTGGTGGGCCTCTCTGGGCTGCTTATTTTGCATCTGAATTCTGTGAACCTCCTCCTGAGGCTTGGCCAGTGATTCCTCCTAAGCAGGAGTCAAAACTTTCCTTTCTCCTTCTGTAGTTGGTTTATAGCCCTCAATGTTCCACAGTTGCATTGGGTTTCCTCCAATCTCACCCTTAATCTACCCCCAATTTATCATTTCTTCCATGAGTGAATGTGAAAGCTACCTCCACTCATTTTCCTTAAAGCTTTTCCTGGTTTCCAATGATGTAAAGTACAGATCATACGACACATTTTTCTACTGTCGTCTCCGCACACACGTGCACGAGCTAAATTTCTCCACGTTCTTGGTCATGT